AGAGGGGACCTACTACCACCAAGAAAGAACCGGAGTGGCTCCTTTGGACCCAGGGTCCCTGTGTTGGGATCCTCCTAGGACCAACAGACACACAGAGAGAAAGCTGGTGCTCTGAATTTGGACTTCTAGCCTCCTAAACTGTGAGATAATAAATTTGTTCGTGAAAGCCATCCACTTGTGGTATTTCTGTTACAGCAGCACTGGATGACCAAGACAGATGGTAAAACTGGCATTACCTGGTGAAGTTAGAGTTGAAAATTAACAAAAGAAAAATTATATGCACTAGGATCTATCAAAGAATGCTAAAAGCAGCCCTCTTAGTAATGGCCAAAGTAAGGACACAACCCAAATGCCCACTGAAGGATACTAAACATGGCAACCAGGGTGGATATCACAAAGCCAACATCAAGGGAAAGAGCAACTCACACAAGAAGATGTGCTGTGATTCCATTCATAAAAAAACCTCAAAAACAGGAAAACTAAACAATTCATGATTGGAAGGGGGAAATGATTTAAGGTCATGCAAAGTATCCTGAGAGCAGGGGCTCTGTGACCTTATGGAGGAAGGAGCAGGGAGGGACACAGAGAGGCTTCAATTTGATTCTTTAAGAATGTACAAATAGGCCTTTTACACTCATCTGCATGTATAATGCATTTTACAATTAAAATGATTTTTTCAATATTAACAAAGGACAATATGATTGATTGATAGCACTTGCCATATACCCAACCCCAGGCTAATTTTTGTGCACAATGATCTCATTTAATAACCACAACAGCCTAGGTTCATCCCCGTTTATGGTGAGGCCACTTGGGCCCAGAAACGTGGTCTCTTGCCCAAGAACAGCAAGAGCAGGGCTTTCATCCCAGGTGTGTCAGGTTCCAAGTCCACACTCCTACTCTCCTTACTATGTATTGTATCATGTTGATGGTGACACAATGGCCAGAGGCCCCACATAGCCCACCTGGGAATGTGAGAAGCCAGACCCAGTCCCTCTCACCCACTCACCAGGAGTCTATACCCAAGCCCATTCTGGGGAATGGGATGCATCCTCAAATCAGTATGAGCCAGCAGCTCTGATGCAGGTGCTGGTTTAAATACCCCAGTGAAGTTTAGAGCAGGTGATGCAGCTTCCCTAGCGCAAGCTACTGTGCCCCTGAATAATGTCAAAGAGTGGGCACTCAAGTCTCACTTGGAGCCTCATACATCCCAACTGGAATTTTCTGCATCTTAAGTGCACTTTCTCTATTCATCCAGTCAGAAACTGTTGTTGGTGGGTGCCACTGAGTCAATTTCAACTCACAGAGACCCCATGTGACAGAGTAGAACTGCCTTATAGGATTTTCTTGGCTAGTGCCTAAGGCACTTGACTGCTAACCAGAAGGCTGGTGGTTCAAACCCACCAGCAACTGCTCAGAAGGAAGGTTGGGCAATCTACTTCTGTAGTGATACTGCCTCAGAAACCCAAAGAGGGATCGCTGAGTCAGGTCCGACTTGACGGCACATTAACAACAGAAACAGATCGCCAGATCTTTCACCCACGGAGCAGCTGAGTGGGTTTGAACTGCCAACCTTTCATTTAAGCAGCCAAGTGCTTAACCATTTGTGCCGCAAAGTACCTGCTGTTATCTACCAAGTGACAGATCCTGTTAGGTTGATTTCACTGGGGATGCTCAGGTTTGCTCTTGTGTTTGGGAAAATTTACAAAAATGTGTACTTACTTCCCAGAATCCTACAAAAGGGGCCCATTAAGAGACACAGGAAAGCAAGGAAGGGGAATTCTGCCAAGTTCTGTATGAAACGCAGTTTCTATATACTTAGAAGTGCTGGTGGTGCAGTACTTAAGCACTCAGCTGCTAACCAAAAGGTCAGCAGTTTGAACCTACCAGCCCAGCTGCTCTGTGGGAGAAAGATGTGGCAGTGCTTCTGTGAATATTTAGTCTTGGAAACACTACAGGGCAGTTCTACCCTGTTCTACAGGGTCACTGTGAGTTGGAATTGACTCGGTCACAGTGGGTTTGGTTTGGTTTTATATGCTTAGAAGATAAAGTCTCAAGAAGTACATCAAGAACTAGGAGCTGTGATGGGGCAAGCAAAATATTATGCCATGTGATATTCATATCAACCTGAGCTCCCAAGATCAGGCAGGATGCGGGAATTAAATGAGTTAAAATTCCAAGGAAACCTGCTCCTGTGTGTACAGAGATGCAGAAGGGCTGAGGAAAGAAGGAAGGCAGCTGACTTGGGCCGAATCATGTGGCAGGTGAGAAACCTTGCCAAGAATGGAAGAGGGGAAAGAGGGCTTCTTGGAAATCATAGCCATGGCCTATGCCACACTGCAGACTCTGGGAAGACTCAGGTCTCTAATGTCAATGGGGGGGCCCAGTATGGTTTGTAATCAACTCAGAGGCAACAAGTCTTTATTATCATGAGGAACTAGGTAGTGGCAGGCTGCTGGGTGGAGAATACCAGGAGGTAGTAAACCAAAAACCCCGTCATCAAGTCAACTCCAACTCCTGGCAGAGTAGCATAGGGTTTCCAAGGCTCTGTATCTTTATGGAAGACTGCCTCATCTTTCTCCTGCAGTGGCTATTGGGTCCAAACCACTGACCTTTTAGTTAGCAGCTGAATATTGTAACCACTATACCACCAGAGCTTCTTGGAGGTGGTAGAGAATTACTGAGATTCAGCCCTCCATCAGGTGGGTGTCACTCAGCCAATGAAATAAGAGGATTGGAATGGTCAGATTCTAAAGGATGGCTGTTATGGTTTGTGCCAGCCTGATGGTGCTGGCACCTGTTGTCCCACAGGGTGGGGTGACTTCAGTCTGGGGCAGCATGTGGTCCTGGGCTGGGGCAGATCTCAGCACACGGGGAAACAGAATCTAATTCCCAAAGAAACACAGCTGGAAAGAGGGTGTGAGGCCCAGGGCAGGCTAACTCCAGGCGAGTAGGGAATGGATCTGAGAAACTCCAACTACCATCTCCTGGCTTCCACTATGCTGAAAATGAAACAAGCCCTGAGAGGGGATATCACTCTAAATTTAGAATAGAAAAAAGGATGGGACTAATGCAAGATTGCCAGATACCAGGCATAAGAGGACAGCAGTTGCCAAATGGGACATCTGATAGGACAACATGTGCATTCTCCAACAAAGGATTCACAGCTACACTCATCTTTTCTTGCCCTTCCCTGGCTAGCTCCCTGCACAGCTTTCTCCACCCCAGAAACTATGGCCAAAGAAGCCATTACACCCCATTCTCAGGCCTTCTGCTCTTGGCCTCCCCCTCAGTCTCACCTAACCCCACTTTCCTACTTCCAGTAGTATGAGTTCGCCGATAGCCGATACTACGCACAGGACCCACTGCACCCCACACATTGGAGCCTGAGATGCAAAGTAGCATGACTTGAACCAGCTGCACAAGTTTCAGGGTCCCTTAACTCCAGTACTATTGGGAGGGGCCCTGGAAATGCCATCACAGGGAAGATTTTAAGTATTTGCAAGACGAAGTATTTTACAAATTATTCAGGCCCTTCAAAGTTGGATTCCATGGAATTTCTCCATTCTTTTAGTCTACTTTTCAAAGTATAGACCATGACTCATTGTGAAATCAGCTCAGGAGGGATCACCAGCATTTCTAATGGAACTGAAATGCAAACATCAAACATGTAGACTACTACACAGTCCTGCGTGAAATTTATACACCCACATCCTTTCCAGAACATGTAGGCAAGCTGACCCACTACTGTGATGTTTCTTTCAAGGCTGGGAAAGCCCCCTTCAAGGATTCCCAAATTGTCCAGGCTGGGTCTGCAGTGTCATGTAATGCAAAACCTTTTTAAATACTTTAAAATCTGGGTCCAAAAGAACTTGCTAATGCAAATGGTAATAAAACAGTTAAGCTACTAGGGCATTTCAGACTACCTTTAGAATTAGCAAACACATGCTAGTAAGCAACTTCCAAAGTACTGCAGCCTTACAGAACACAACCAGAATATAACCCCCAACTCTGTGAAAACATGAAAGCTAAACTAATCCCAACTTAGAAACCCAAGAGTGGTTTCAAGTACTAAGCCTTAACACAATATACACTGTTGTTATTGTCGTTATGTGCTGTTGAGTCGGACCCGACTCAAAGTGACCCCTCCTTGGGTTTCCGAGGCAGTATCACCATGGAAGTAGGCTGCCCCATCTTCCTTGCGAGGAGTGGCTGGTGGGTTTGAACCGCCAGCCTTCTGGTTAGTAGTCAAGTGCCCTAGCCACCATGCTACCAGAGCTCCCACAATATACACCAAGCCTTGAAAATATCTTCTCATGAGATAGTGGAGTGGCAGTTAACGTAATATAATCAAATGAGTTTATACACTCATTTGATAGGCTTCTGTGAACTCAAATTCCACATGAGCAATCTTACAGGGGAGACTCCAGTGCAGTGGGCAGTGAGCAGGGTTTGTGCCCTCCCTCCAGACCCTTCAACCTGATTGACAGATCAGCACACTGTAGGCCATTCTGTTCTCTTCAGACTGAAAAGTTAATTCCTGCTGCCACCTGACAGTACAAAGAGTAAACCATCAATAAGGGGAAGTAGGCAGAGGAAAGCTTCTTTATTTTCTAAAATTAACCTCATATTTATACCTCCAATCTGGATTCAGGAAAAGTAAAATACTTGTACCCTGTTAAACTGGGACAGAATTGCAATAATTTTAGAGCAGAAACATGATGGGTGTTTGATGTGCTAACAGTTTCTTCCAAGCGTAAAAATAACAATGTTATCAACCTTCAACTTCAGAAAACCATTTCTCAGGTCACCACCATGTCCATGTATGTGCAACCATTTACATCTCCGCTTTCAGAATACAGAAGGTTCTATACTGAAAGCAGGAAGCTCAGGAAAAACAATATACAGTGAGCTTCAGAAGTAAAACAGAAGTGAAGAAACTGAAAGTAACCCCCAGGCATCTTATATCTGGAATAAAAAATAAACAAATGGATGCAACCTTTAGAAACTGATGTTTATTTCCCGTCAACCTTATTTCCGTTTTCTAAGACATTGTGGAAGACAGTTTAAGACCACTCAGTGGTTGTTCCTACCCACTCAGTGGCCTGAGCAGTGGGGGCTGCAGACCAGTCTTCAGTTGCAGGTTGAGCACTCCAGTCTTCTGTTTTTAAAAAAAAAAAAAAAAAAAAAAGCCATGAGCTCCATTACTAGTTATTTCTCTCCTATACGCCAGAAGCAATCTGCCTTGTATTTCATCAGAAACACATTTCAAAGGAAAAAAAGTAGACCAAGGCCACCTCATTTCAAAAGCACCCAAATGTAACTTATGCTAATACAGCTGCAGCACTGGGAAGAGAAGAACATCTTAATGTTCATATAAGATTAAGAAATTTAAAAGTTCAAAGCTGTCACATGCCAATATGGCCAAACGCAATACACGTGAATCCCGATACATACCAGTAGGGAACTGCTGAATGGGCACAGAGGGCACCTGCACGCCCTCAGACCAGTCGGCAACCTCAGGCTGAGCGGCAGTAAATTCAGGAGCAGGAGCGGTCCATTCCCCCTGAAATTCTTCCTTGGTCACAGCCTTTTCAGCAGCAGCCTGCTCTTCCTTTTCAATCTGTTTTTTTTAAAAAGAAAAAGCTTATAGGAGCTGACAAATTTTCCCTTTTCTTTTGCAACACTTTGTTTCCCAAGCTCATGTGCCCACCAGCCTGAATGCAGCTCACCTCTTCTGGATCTCTGTAGAAATAGAGGTCAGGCATGACCTCCCATGGGTGCTCCCGGGAGATGGTACCACGCATGCGCAGGACTTCCCGGGCCAGCATCCACCACATCAAACCCACCGAGTGAGCGCCCTGCAAGAGTGATAGGTTATTAAAGTGACAGCCAGCCACCCCAACAACCAGCAATTCCCCATTCAGCTAATCTACTTCCACATGACCAAGTCCCTTAGCATCAAGAGAACAAATCTTAGCTTTAAAGTTCTTATAATAAAGAGTATTCTATAAATCAGTGGTTCTCAACCTTGTACATTTGAATTGAGAATTTTAAAAAATATATTCTTTTCAAGGTCCCACCACCTCAGGCAACTAAATGAAAAAGTCCTTGGCGGGTTATAAGTATCAAAAACTGTACTAAGGACTATGAGACCAAAATAACTAGATGGTGCCCGGCTACTACTCTACTAGACTTGGAAGAGGATCTACGTAGGAGATCCTGGATAGAGAGGGAGAACAATGTGGAACAAAATTCAAAATCATTTGGAGGGGGAAAAAAAAGGGGGGGACCAGGTTTGCCAGTCAGATAGAGCCTGGTGGAACCACTGAGACTATGGCCCCTAGCTGCCCTTCAGACCTGGAATTGAACCCACGCCTGTGGCTTCCAGCTAAACAATAGATAGGCATATGAGTTGAACATGTACCTGAGGTAGATACACTCCTTGGAGAGAACAAGCATGGGAGAAGAAAGGCTGCTTATACACAGGGAGACAGCTCAGGGGCCAGGAGGGCATGGAGGGATGGACACAGGGAAGAGGTAACTATCGGGAGGAAGTAGGAGGGGAGATGTTGCATTGTGGTAAACTGTGGTCAATGTCATGAGACAAAGTGTATGTGAAGTGCTGTATGGAAAATGTATTTGCTCTGTAAATTTTCACCCAAATCACGATTAAAAAAAAAAAAACTGTACTATGTCCTTGGGCAATTCTTATGTATAACCAGGGTTTTGAGACTAGTTATAATTCCACCAATTTGAACCACATACAATCTACCTTTTTTCTTTTTAAAGCATAGAATTCATCAGGTTGGTCTGAAAACAGGAAAGATCAATGCCTAAGAGGCTTAAATAGAGCAAGAAACAAAAGCAGAAGAAATACATATTTAAAAAAAAAAAAAATCAAAAAACATTTTAATTTCTCCTCAAAGTTCTCTTGTAGATTAGTAATACACGTGTAGCAAGGATTACTATCAAACTCCACTCATCGGGTCAAAGACCCTTGTGGTGTTAGCGAAAAACTTGCCCATCATGTAGCACACTACCTACACTTGTGAGTTCACTGGCCAGCAATGGCCTCAACTCCAAGCTCTAACAATGTGCACAGGAATGTACAGCCATTTCTAGAGCACCCACTGCAAGCTCTCATCTAGATCACAAAAGCCGTTACCTTGTTGTTGCATGGGATGGCAATGTCCACATAGCGCAGAGGAGAATCTGTGTTACACAGAGCAATGGTGGGCAAGTTAACATAAGATGCCTCTGTGAGAGGCTGGTGGTCAGCCCTGGGATCAGTAACGACCAGAAGACGTGGCTCCCGGAAAGCTGCCTGGATCTGGTTAGTGAAGGTTCCAGGAGTGAAGCGCCCAGCAATAGGAGTAGCTCCAGTGGCAGCAGCGAACTTCAGCACAGCCCGCTTGAAGAATTATGAACATTAAGAGTCATATGGTTTCATAGGAAATCTCCATGATAGTGTGTCCCTAGTTCTGTATTACATGAAGCAAGTCTGTCTAGTCTAAACCTTCAAATAATCAAAGCATCAAAGCAAGCATTTAAAGACCCCAACTCTAGCCCTCTCTCCTAAATGCTGTCTCTACTTCCTACTCCCCTGTGGCTTGCTGGTTTCCTTACTTCTAGAAGCTCCAGAGCCAGAATGCCTGGTTTCAGGTACCAAGCCAACCACTTTGTGAGTGACCTGCGAAGTTGACTGATTTGCCTCCAAATTCCTCATAAGGTTATGGGAATTAAATGAATACATATAAAACACTAAATGGTATATGGCACCTCACAACGTGGCACCTAGTAAACACTTAAGGCCTCTGGTTGAATTTAATCACCACTACCCTACATAAACAACACCACACCCAGCTTTCTTCACCCCATTTCCTTTTCCTCCATGATGTTGTTATTTGCCATTGAATCAAGAGACGCCCCCTCCTTGAGTTTCCAAGGATCTTTTCAATTTCATTTTCTGTATCCCTTCAAAAAGGCAGACTTCCTATTTTTTTCTGCTATATCCCACATACCTAGAAACACCAACTTGCCCAAGCTAGATGCTCATTAAGTGTCAAGGAAAGCATGAGTGGCCACTCAGTTCATTCTACAGTAATATCTGAATTGAAATTTCTTCTACCATGCACACCAATCTATAAGCGTTTCATGTCACGAGCCATGAAACAACCCCATGCAAAACAATCTTAAATGTTATGGAAACCATCTTTTTTTTTTAAATTAAATTAGAACAGGACGAATGACTATCTTTGTTAGAGCTACAAGTCAATTTTCAAGAAATCCATTAACACCTCAATAGAGTAACAGAACTGTCAACACAGAAATGGGGTAAATAGTTTACCTCATTAGTCATTCTTAAAAAATAAATTAAAAGGCTTTATTCAAATTGGCAAAGATTCTTTTAAAAAAAATTCCCATTATGAAATTTGGATTAATAAAGTTTTTTTTGAAAAAAAATGTAGTTGACAAATATTTTTTGACCCAGTATTTCATTTTAAACATCAAAACATAAATCTCAACATTCACTATCATGTCAACTTGTGTCTAATAGGTTGAACCACATTTAGTTGACCATTTGTTAAAAATGTCAAATATTGGGAATTTCTAGTAGTTCAGGCTAAAATTCCTAAACGGTAGACTTTTGGGTCATTTTAGTTTTCTTATACTTTCCTGTATACCCCAAAAGGTCTATAATCTTTATTATTTTCATAATAGAAGCCAAGAATGCTGTTCCACAGACCTGGCCAGTATTCCTGGAGGATATGACACTGACATCAGCCGGGTTTTCAATGGCAACGATGGCCCGAGCTGCCAACAGAAGTTTCTCCCAGGTCCTCTTCAGGTTGATGATGTAGATACCTACACGTGGGTAAAAGGTATTGTAATATCTGACCTGGCTTGCAAACGGACATTTAAACAGTTTAGTGTATGTGGCAGCAAGTACTATCAAACTCCAGTCATAGAGGCAAGCTCTACTGGTGTTAGCGAAAATCCTGCCTGTTAATATAGCACACTTCCGACACTCAGAAGTTCACTGGCCAAGACTGGCCTCCACCCTGAGCTTTAATAGTGTGCAGCTCTGATCTCTTTCCCCTGTATTTACCCGCCTCAGAATTCATATACAGTTCTTACCCCCTTCCTGGCCTCTTGTGATACCTGTCTATATCTACACTGATGCCAGAGTCAGCCTAAAATTCCTTTACGGAATACCACTCCCAGGCTTATATCCTTATGTTTTTCTACCTAAGGTAAAGAACTGCCATCACCAACTTTCCATATTCTTACAATAACCTACAAAAAAAAAAAAAAAAAACAAACTCACTGCAGTCAGAGTCAGATCCAACTCACAGCGACCCCTCCTTGGGTTTCTGAGGCAGTACCTCTACGGAATTAGACTGTCCAGTCTTCCTTCCAAGAAGTGGCTGGTGGGTTTGAACCTCCAGCCTTCTGGTTAGTCAAATGCCTCAGGCACTACGCCACCAGAGCTCCTGTAATAATCTACATTCCCCTATGTAATCCTTCTAAGCCAAATCAAGTTTATTCCCACCACTTTCCCTACTTTCCTGTCAGAATTCAGTTCAAAAGCTGCCAGCCAAACAATAGACAGAAATATAGGGTGAACGTTTACATCAGGTAGATATGCTCCTTTGAATGGTCAATTATGGGAGAACAGAAGGGCAGTATTTGCACAGGAGACAGCCCAGGAGGCAGCAATGCACAGGAAAAGGTAACTAAAGGGAGGAAGTGGAAGAGAGCTGTTACATTGTGGGAACTGCAGTCAATGTCATGATACAAAATGTGTATGAACTGCTGTACGGAAAAGGAATTTGCTCTGTAAACTTTCACCCAAATCACAATAAAAATTAAAAATTCAGTTCAATAAACCAGCATCAGTTAACTACAAAGCAAGAAGTAGTAAAGGAGATTTAAAAAGAAAATTGGAAATTCACTTAACAACTTCACCGCCTTAACTTACAGCTCCTTCATGGGCCAACCCAACTGTCACACTTCCTCCACTGGAGCCCAGAAATCCCCGCCACCCCAATAGCAACCAAAATACTTTCACTGAAATTTTAAAACTTATCTCCAAACGGGAGCTCTGATTTATTTTCAGCAAATCTTAGACAGGTGTATTAGATATTTATGTATCTAACTCGGTACTGCCATCTCCAAATAACAGGGTCAGAATTTTAAAGCAATGACTGACCATCACTTTTCCTTTTATAGATGTACTGTTCCATTTGGAAGTCAAGGTTGGTGCCACCTAAGTGGGTTCCTGCTGCAAGAAATTTGAGGACATCCTCCTCCTTCATCTGCAGGACATCAAGGGCTCCGGACATTGTGAAAGTTTCCCCTTTAAGTTACGATGGGAACCTGAAAAGAAACAGTTAACAAGCCAGTGTTTTTAATTCCACCTAGTTAAGTGGGGTGGGGTAGTCTTCACAACTTTGGGAACTAAGCCAATTTACATTTAAAGGCAACCAAGGGGCTACCCATCCTACCATGTCAGCCACTGAGCTAGACTAATCTAGTGAAGGGAAGAGACACCACAGTCCATCAAATACAACTATCACTATCTGCTCAGCCAATCTTCCTGAGGAATGTGGCATGGAAATTAGAAAACCTAGGTGATACAACCAGACAGAACAGTGAATCGAGACTTAAACCTCAAAGTGCATACGACAGAAAGGAAAAGTTATAGATGAGGAAAGGTAACTATCAGATTTAAAGAGTAGCCACGTCTGAGGGTATGCAAAAGCTTATGTAACGGAGATAGACAAATTTCACAGTATTTTAAACCACAATGTAGGTTAGTCCTTCACAGGTAGTTTTCTTCAAAACCCTACCAAACACCTAACACCTCCTGAAGCGACCGACTAACGAGACCAAGAACAGCTAGCCAGGTGGCTGGTGTAAATCCACGCCGCAAGGGCCCGTAAAGTACAGCACCAAGCTTCACGGCCTTAGTGACCTCAATGTGGCCTACTTTCTGCAATCCTGCCCGGCGGGGGCACTCGCGCACCGAACCCCAAAGCCCTGAGCCTCCGCACGATCTGGCCCTGGGCCGACCCACGGAATTGTGGGAACCAGCGCGCCAGAGCCCACACACGTGCGAAAGGCCGGGCCTCCGGAGATTGGGGCTGAGCGAGCCCGGCTCCATCGACTGGCCCTCCCTCTCAGTCATAGCACCCCTCATTTGGGCAGGAAGATCTTCATTTGGGGTCTGGGGGACGCCGCAGACCCCAGAGGGGCCTTACCCAGGACAACGCCGTATGGACCCTACTCTGGGTAGCGCGGAAAGGACAGAAGGGCGGAAATGACGTTTTTATATACTCCGCTGTCACCCAATGGTGAAGAGCGGAAGAAGGGCGGAGCCTGGAGGGCCCCTAGTGTCGAAGGGTTTCTCCTCCCGGAACAGTGTCTGGCTGGCGGCAACGCACAACAGTAAGGAAAAAGCTCTTCGCTGCCTTTGCCTATCTCAGGTGGTTGGAGACTGGGGATTTCCAGCCCCGCAGCGGCGCACCGCACCGCGTGGGTTACTATATTTCTATCAAAAACTGGAGTCTAAAACTAGATAGGGTTTGAGTTCATACTTGCCTTTTGTACCTGTTAATTTAAGCAGGTCCTTCACCCCTGTAAAGGCGTTTGACTGCTAACCAGAAAGTTGGTGGTTCAAACCCCCCAGCTGCTCCGCGGAAGTAAGATGGGACAATCTACTCACGTAAAGATTTACATCCTCGGAAACCCAATGGGGGTCGCTGTGAGTCAGAATCGACTCGATGGCAGTAAGTTTGGTTTTTCACCTTTCTAAGCTGCAGTTTCTTACCTGTTAACTTGTTGAATACAGACAGCCTAAGTGTTCAATAAACAAAAACTGAAGGTATTATTGTCATTTTTTGGAGAACAATTTAGCAGTATGTAATTCAGATTTTAAATGTTAACTTACGGAAAACTTTCCTGAAAAAAAGGACACTGCGCCTATGGTATGCATAAAGACTTTTTTTAAGTGAGAAAAAAGTTGCAATATTCATCAATAGGGGATTAGTTAAATAAATATCTATCCCATCCAATGCAATACCATGCAGCCCTTAAAAAATAATAAATGTTCTAGGATATAAAACTGAAATACAGAGTGAGGGCAGTTATGCAAAAATAAAAATTAAAGCCCTATACATTAAAAGATAATTGCAAAGAAACGACCAAAATGTTAATTTTACTGTAGTTCTCAACCCTGCCCACACTTTGGAATCACTTGGAGAGCTTTTAAATATTTCATGCCCAACCTTAGACTAAAAAACTATAATTTAAAAAATACAGCTTTCCAGATCATTCTAATGTGCAGCCAGACTGAGAACTACTGACACAAGGAGCACAGTGTTTGGTGTGTATGTATTTCACCATTTAAAAGGGGGGGGGGGGCAGAAAAACTGGGCAATCCCCACCCCCATTTTTTAGTAATTTTGAAATTTTCCAGGAAAAATACCCACTTTTAAATCGAAGCAAAACAAAACCCCACTGCATTTTAACGAAGAACTGACATGTAAAAATATAAACTTAGCTATTGCAGTTTTAAGCAGCAGCCCTAGAAACTGCTGAAGTATCTATAGACATTTTGGTTCTCAAATAAAAAAATGGCTTTTAAAAATAACTCTGAAAACTTAATGGCTGACTTCATGGACAATTTTCTATCACTGCAGGACTTCTCTGGGGGCCTTTTGGGACACCCTCAAACCATCTTAGCAACTCTTGTCCCTATGCATCATGGAGTTTCATGAATACTTCCATTATAACAACCAGAACATTCTATTGCAATTATGTTTGTTGTTGTTGTTGTTGTTAAGTGCCGTCGAGTCGTTTCCGACTCATAGCGACCCCATGCACAGCAGAACGAAACACTGCCCGATCCCGCACCAGCCC